CGGCATCCTCCGCAATTATGACCCAATAACACAAATGTATATATTTTGTCCCATCACGAAGACCTTTAATGCAGAAGAATCCAGACCCTTCCTTATCCCACATGAATTTATCCAACCTATAGAAATCCCTATATTAGAATTCATCCACAATACTAAATACAATCACAAAATATATAATCTCATTCAAAACACACCTTATGAGTTTGCAGTTGGCACCGAAGAACTAAAAACTATTAAAGCACTTCAATTGCTTTGCCCACTGCTTCAAACTAAAAACATCATTCGCATACTAGCAAAATTACTAACAAATTCCGACATAATACACGACATCTTCCCCCACGGTTTTTTCCCCGACGACTAACAGGTAGGTATAATTTATACATATTCTTCACTAATAAATTCAAATTAATACTAATCATTCTTTACTCATGTTTCATTTAGATTTTTAGTCTCCATCCCACGATCATCTGCAAAAAAACAGAAAAGAAAAATAAACAATAAAACTTGTTAAAATTCTTCTCAACTTTATTAATATTTTGCACTCGATAAATATAATAAAATGCATACAATGTAATAAATTAATTTATAAATTGTTTCCCCAAAAGCAGTAAATTTCATAAAAATGAAAATTTGTAACTTAACTTTTCCCCAAAACTAGCAGTAAAATTAAAATTCTATGTAGTAAATTGATAAAATGAAAATGCAGTACTAACCTTTTGATATTTTCATTCACTCGCACAAGAATTCTATCCAAACTCGCACAGCTCGCCCACGAAGAATTGTTTAAATAATGAACTTCAGTTTCGAGTTTTCACACTCAACAACTCTAACACACGATAAGAAGTTTCAAACTTTCCTTTAACCCGGTTGGAAAGGAATTATATACTAAACCAAACTAACCAACGCAGCTTACTAAACACCACAAATCACAAAATAACAGCATGACTAAGAAAAGAAAACCAACGGTACCCAAACCGGATTAACCCAGTTTAAAACTGGATAATTTATTCTTTTGAAGACTATTATAAAGTCTAAGAAAGAAATAATAAAACACAAAAAAGTCGAAAGACAAACCCACAATAACAAAAACAAATTGATTTTTGAAAAAAGGACAGAACCAACGGAACATAAGAAAGACCACCATAAACCCAACATAAAACGTTATCACATAACAGGACCTCTCACAGAAACCGCACGAAATCATACTCCCACTCCTGGCCTAACCCACCAGAGAGGACGTCCTGAGCATGCTCTATAGCCGGCCTAACCCACCGCGCTACATCCACGCTTTGTGACCACACTTCTATTTTGAATAAGAGGTACTCAAGGGTGAGTAACTCTTCAAAATAACCGAACTAAAACAAAATGCTTTTGTGAAAACAACTAACCAAAATCATAATTAAAACACTGAACTAATAAAAATTTTATAAAATGTAAATTATACGTTGCAGTATATAGATCAGCATACAACAACAAAGACGAACATCCAAAGACAAAATGACCCCACTACACTCGAAAAAGAATGGCCAACCACAACTAATATGCCGTCCACACTCACAACTCAAAGGATTTAGAGTACGACTTGACTTCGCAGAAAAGGACTTCATTGAACTAGACCAATGACCACCTCGATGCTCAAGTATACGTACAGATCCGAGTTACAATGCATCTTCTCCACGAACAATCTCCACGCCATTCCCAGACGAGGTCGAACACAAAAGAAGTTCTCTACATAAAACAGAAAAACCCGTCAAGTAAACCATTCTGAAATCAGATTGATTTCCTTGGGAAACACCGTCGTTGTCACAAGAAGACACAACGATTGATGTCCATAACTCCAGCGTCCTGGAACTTCTGTAACAAGAGAAACCGGACAAGAGTACGATGTTTGCCAAATACCAACGTCCATCATCCATCCTTTGAATTGCAGAAAGATAATTCTAAAAAACTCTGTAAAACCCGGATGGGTGGAACCTGACCTAAACTATATTTTATGATTGGATAAATTAGATATTTTACCACTGTAAAGTATTTAATATTAACCAATCATGATCCATCTCACTAACAACCCACTTATTTGTAAGTGCTGAAATTACTTGTAATTTCAGCACCAGAGAGATTTGAATTTAACTTAGAAATTAGTTGCCTCTCCAAGAGAACTTCAGCAGCCGCAACAAACCAGTATACCCTAGATCTATTGAGCCTAGCAGAGACTAGTTAAACACCCTGAGACTAGAAAGTATAAGAGTAAGATTAGGATCGGTATTAGACTAAGAAGTTGCACGAATCTATCCGGCCGAAAATAAGATAGCGTGACGAGCAGACGGTGTACCCTATCCGAAATTACTCTATGAGTTAACCACATAAAACATAACTCAAATTGTCAAACTGGCATATAACACCCTTCGCTGTTTATCCAAAATTCGATCCCCTTTGGTGTTTATTTGGTGCTTTCATTTTCGGCCGACCAACCTCAAAATTTTAAAAGGCGCCTAGGCGCCAAAATATACTAATTTTGAAGAACAGCGCGCCCCACAAAAAATCAACTTATGACAATTTTTTTACTAAGCCTTTAAATTTTTTACCAAGTTTGCCTGCTGCCTAAAAACGTTTTCAAGTTTTTTTTTCTGATAAACCACACCCGTCGAGATAATCATAAGTTCGCCCTGCTCAGAGGTTTGCCTTGAAGTAGCCTTGATGAGGTGACATTATCATACTGAATCAAGAATGATGTACATAGCGCTGAAGTTTTTACGTGACACAAAAAAAAACTTTTTTTCCTCTTTTGATCCCTATGTTGTTATGCTGAAATATGGGGTCCCACAGGGATCTTTCTTAGGCCTGCTTCTCTTCATCATCTATTTCAATGATAAAGATCAGGAAGGAGATGTGAAAGTTTTTTTTACATACAGACGACACTCTCTTGAAAACAACAGCTTACAACAATAAATGAACCAATGAGAATTGAAAAAATTTTTGGACATAACAGCTTGTTGGTTACAAAAAAAAGCTGAATTCAATTAAAATTCAAACAAACACAATGGCACTGTTTAAAGAGAGCAGCGTAAATTCGAATGTAGAATTGAAAAAAAAACCAACGAAGAGGAACAAGTGTTTTGCTAATCAGTAGTTGATATTGATAGTAATCTTTCTTTCTTTGAACATGTAACAAAAAATGAAAACAAAAACATGCAGAGGTTTTTCGGGTATTCATTACAGGTTGAGAACAATTTTAGTTAGAAAACAACTACCAAGAACAAATGCGTCTAATGACAAATGTTTTGGCAAATGCGTCAAATGACAAAATTGAAATAGAAACAAATGAAAATAAAACTAAATGGTTTTTAAGAAGTAATTGGTTCAAGAAAAAAAAGTGACAGCATAAAAGATATAACACAAAAACCAGAAGCCTACTAAGCAAAAGCGTTACATATATATATGAATTTTTCTAATTGTTTTTGTAAGTCTTTAGAAAAGAACGCATAACAACCTAATTCAAGAAATTGTCAAAAATGTGAATTGTATTTTGGGTAAGAAGTTATCCGCTAGGCAGAGAGCCATGCATAAAAAAATCGTAAAAAATTTAATGAAAGTAAAAATTTGCTAAATTTTGAAAATTTTTTGAAATAGTTATCAGACTTTGTAGTATGGATTGGAAGCTGCACTCATTGTCAAAAACAAATTTCATTTGATGAATACAGAGAACTTCGTCCTAGGACAATTAAACAAGATGAAACGCTTTTTTGAGGAAAATTACATTTCAAAAACTTTTTTTTTCAGGTGTCGGTATAGTGCTTAACCTTTAGTTCTTTTTTTTCGGTTTCCCAGTTTTTATTGTACCAGATAGCTTTGTTAATCGTTTATTGATTGAAAATCGTTAGTAATAAACGTGAAAAGTATTTAAGGATTAGAAGCGCCTGAAATAAGGCTGTAAAATTCCAAAATTATTTCTGTTGTTTAAGTTCTAAATTTAACAATGAATGGAACCTATTTCGACGAAAATAGTTAAACACAAGTAGTTAACTAAAGAACAAAAAAAAATTCGAAAGCAATATGTTTTTCAAGTTTCTGTAGGGTAGAAGCTATTAATTTAATTCTGATGAAAGCAATTTTTTGTCCCAGAAAAAAACCTTTTCTAGAACAAAAAGGTGAAATGAAACTCAAAACATTTTTTTCGCTTCTAAAAAAATACCTTTTTGACGTTTGATTAGGAGCTGTAAGCTTCAATTTTTTGTAATACTGTGCACAAAAACTCACCTTATACCAACAAATTATCAAATCCGAACAAACATTTTTGGTCATTGAAAATTTTCTAGCCAATGAAAACCTGATTCAGATAACAGAAAAGTAAAATTTTCGAACCAGATTCTACGAGTGGGTACTTATAATATGTACTCGAAGAATCTGGTTCGAAAGTTTCACACTTCTGTTATTTGAATCAGGTTTTCAATGGTTAAAAAATTACTTTTTACAAACTCTTTGTGATCAAACAGTTTCAGTTATGGTCAAACTTGTTTTTTTTTTCACTGACATATTGGAAAATTTTTTTGTTTTCCTTTGGAGAAAAACAAAAAAACCCAAACTGTTTGGTTGCGTCACTTTCTTTCTCCAGTATATATTCCAAACAATATATATTTTTTTGATGAGAATTGTTGAATACAAATATATTTTTTACCAATTTTTTTTTTCAAAAAGAGCTTCCGAGATAACTATGGAGAGGAAACCCAGAATTGCCCCAACATTAGGTATCAAGCAGGAACCCTAAGTTTTTCCCGGGCTATGTAATTGGGTATAAACATATTTTTTCTTCGTCAATTGAAGCTCTTAATCGCTTTATGTTTATATGATAAAGCACAGGGATTACGAGCTGAACAATATGAGAGACTTACTTTTGATAAAGGAACCATGTCATCGCATGCAGCGTATTTAGTCCGGTAAAAACAGATTTTGAGAAAGAGAGAGGGAGTGTGAGAGGTAAAAAATTTTGGGAATAAAAAAACCTTGCATATCTGTGTCTTCTGAGAGTGCATGTAGCTATAAGTGCAGCGAACACAAACAGGAAAAGAGAGCTGAGCAAGTTCCACTTCCAGATCAACCAAAAGATCCAGGCGAACCCATGCAGGGGCTCAAAATCATCCAGACCCAGAAGGTCTTCTAATGCAGTCATGTCCCACACACTGGCCATTCTCATCAACTGAGAAGATCAAAAAGAGACACGCACACTAAACACACTCTTCTCTCCAGTTCTTCGGTCTTTTATTGTTTGTTGGTGGTCACACGGGTCGAGTTCGTGCTCAAAAATCGTTCAAGATTTGAACGGTTTGAGCAGTTTTTGAGCAAGTTTTGAGCGGTTTGAGCGGTTTTTGTAGAAAAACCGCACAAAACCGTTCAAGTCTTGCGCGGTTTTTCTAGATGAACCGTTCAAAAACTGTTCAAATCTTGCGAGCTTTTTGAGCGGTTTTATTTAATACGCTCAAACTGCTCATTATGAAGAAAGATTTTGAGCGCAATTGTTTAAAAAAACACACAAACCGCTCAAACCTTGCTTCAAAATAGGTGAAAAAACTTGACTAACCAAATTAGACCGCTTTTCAGTTTTGGCTCCTCTGAGTCTCAAATTGGGCGATTACAACGCAAATTGATAGCAACAAAAAAACATAAGTTCCTAACGAAACGTGAAGGAGTTTTTTTGTGTCATGGAGATTTTCTGAAAGGTGATTGCAAAAAAAATGAAAGAGTGCAAAGAGAACGAGAAAGGAAAAAGCACAGTAGTGATTTTCTAGTGTTCTTGTTTGCATACATCAATTCTCTTTTGCACGCTTAAAACAGTAGGAGTAGATAAGCAACAGCTGTATTTTGCATCAAGAAATTTTGTGACCGGGTCTAGGACAACGGGACTGCCAGCCGAAAGCACTTCAGGTCGAAATTTAAACATTAGGCTAAACTGTGCACTAGATAGGCGCACAATTTTGTGTCTGTATATTCCTAGCTTTATGAATCGGCTCGAAGTTCCATCGGCCTTATGTCCGGTAACCCTTGTAACCAAATCGAAAAACAGTGTGCCCGCAACGAGCGCCAAAAGAATCTAATGGATTATAATGGATTCCCGAGACAAAAATAATCCATTAGAATCGTTTATATTGCTACTATTATCGATTGCTTTTGAAAAAAAATCCATTAATTTGATTATAATCAATTTCAAACCATTTTTTTGGCTTCGAAATTGATTTTTTTCGCCGAGATAATCCATTATAATTGACTATTTTTGAAATAAAGAACCATTATAATTCAAAAACAAACCAGAAGTTTTCAATATGTTCACGTACCTTTCTTGAAAAGTTTCAAGACTTAAACGGAACTATTTTGAAGTAAAGAAATGCTAAATAATGCACAGTTAAAAACTGCACAGCTCAAAAACGTAGTTTCAACTTTTATTGAAACATAATGAAGGATTTTGATTTATTTATAGGATCCTTGAAGTAGTATGCATATAGTACTCAACGATAGGGGTGGGTTCCAATACATGGATGATCATTAGGTAAAAATTATAATGGTCACCATGTGTTATCTAACAAACAATGGTCACCATGTAAAAACGATGATCACTAATGAGTGGTGAAAAAAAAATTGGAATCTTTGTTTTTTTTTTGTGGCTTCTTGACATCAGCTTGATGTCCAGTGCAACAAAAGGTGACCTGAAGGTCAACAGTGACCTCAAAAATCAGTCATTAAAAAAAAATTCCAAAAAATCAAAATCGTTTATCACAAAAAAGTTTCGTCCTTAAGAAAGTTTTTTTTTGAAAAAAAAACTTCCCGCCCAAAAATGTTTTTTTTTCTTAAAAGAAATCCCCTCTCAAAAAAAAATTTCTTTGAAATAAGTTTTCACCGACCAAATTAAAACCTTTATTTTCTTGAAAAGGTTTTTCCCCGCCCAAAAAAGTTAAAAAAAAATACCTGCTCAAATTTTTTTTTAAATCCAGTTAAGTTTTCCCAGCCCAAAAAAAAAAAAAGTTACGAAATTCTCGCTCAAAATTTTTTTTTTTTTTAAAAATGAAAATCAGTTTTCCCAGACCAAAAAAAAATCTGCCAAAAGAAAAATTTTTTTTTCAGAAAATATAACAAAAAGTAAAAATAAAAATAAAAATTGAGGCAGATAAAAATGATTACCTCTGGACAAAACGGAATAAAGCTTGGGATTGAGGGATATAAAATCAGTTATTATGTCCCCTGGTCCTCGAATTTTGAAGCAACCATATTGTTTTTTGGATCGTAGAGAGGTTGTTTCTTCGGGTAATTTCAAAGGTCATTAAAATGTTTCTTGTTTTCGGAAATTTCGCGATATAAATTTTTACTTTTGATTTCGTACAGGAAACTATCCGTATCACAATAGAGAAGTTGACATCTAAAATTTGTATTCATTATATCATAATGAAAATTATACATGTGAAATTTTATACAAGAACACTAGATCCCACAATTGTTGGCACATCCCAGTAAATGTGCGTTGGATTCGAAGTGAACGCTGCCAAGTTTTCTCCAAGAATTTTGTAGGTTTTGAACTGCAATGCACTAATTTCTCGTAAGGCGACTTGATACTCTCTAATTATGCAAACGAGCATCAGCATGCGCTTTGACTTGCATGTTTTCCCATAAGCACAGTTGTTTAAAAGTTTTTACAAATCCTCCTCAATCTTGTTTCTAACTTGTTGGCTTTTATTCGGGTTCAGAGTGGTATATGGTTCTAACCATGCTTCTTGTTCAAACTTCAGCACACGGTTCACTTTTTTTTAACTTTTAATCCCAACCAGATAAACCTACAATTGCAAAAGTTTAATCCCAACCAGATCCCTACAATTGCAAAAGTTTGTAATTAAATGTATAGTTCGACTTCAAAGTCTGCAGTAACTTCTTGGTCTTACAACTTGGACGTCTGGCAGTTTCTTGATTTCTCATCTGCCCCATTAAATTTGTTTGTTAGGGACTCAACCAATCCGGGGGTACTGTTTTGTTTTGGTATGAGCTAAAGGGTAATCTTGATAACTGACATTTACCTCTTCTTGATACTCGAGATCAACTTCTATGAATTTAAATGCATTACTAATATAAATTGAATCGGAGAGTCGTCAGACGTTTTAAGGATTTGGTTCAGCATTACTGCGTCCTCTATATGCTCTTCCAACTCACAGTTACGCACCGGTAATTTTCCGTTTGCTAAACGCCGCCATTAAGCTTACTCCCATCGATCATTCACCCATAGGTGCCATATTGATCTGGGTTGAAGTCGGGGCATTCTTAGTTGTTTGCTTTGAAAGAGCGACTATGGAACACAGATGCAGTGCCACCTCGCATCATTTTTACGAACATTTCGAGATGCCTGCGATCTGAGATGAATTGAACATTCGAGTCTTTGCAGATACGTTTGAAGGCGTCTCCAGCTCAGTTGAAAGCACTAAAATGGTGCGCGCATTCCAAGCCATAAGTTTGGTGACTAATTTTTCGAAACGTTTCAAAGACGCAAGCAAGAAGGAGTGTATCACACTTGAGATACAACTTGTGATAATCCTCGAAGTTCTGACATTCGAACTCTCTAAAAACTTTTCTTGCATGTTCCAGATCCGCTACTGAAACTGCAATTTTTACTCCATTCAAAACATCGGACCAATGTTGCAAGTGAGGCAGTTCTTTTTCTGCAAATTGTTATCTATAAGCCATGTACGAATTAGGGTAGAAACCTTTTTGTCGTATCAGACATCGTTGCTCTCTGTATCGTTTGCAAAATACTCGTTAAAAACCGACAATTTTTGCACTGGTATTTTATCCACTAATTTTTGCAAGGAAGAAATTGAAAAATTGCATGAGTCAATGAATCTGAGGTACTCGAAAACTTTTTGATCAGTTCCGTTCTTCATTTTTATAGTTTTAATTAGGACTCCAATGCTTAACGATTTATGTTTTTCGTAGGTGCTGGGTATAACACTCATTGTACTGGTTGTCTCGTAATCATGCAATGCTAGACAAATTTGGTGAAGATCATAGATCTGGATGTTATGTCCAATGACTGGGGTAAAATTCACACTTCGTCTTGCTAGAATGCATTTTTCATGTGCCCATCCCTGAAACTTTCCAGAAAAATGACAATGGTCAAGACATTTTTCATGCTTATTGGTAAAATGTATACAGCAAATCCAACCTGTTGATTTGTTTTCTTTGATCAACAATTCTTGAATTCCAATGAAATGAGGAAATTATCGCTTTTGATAATCGATCTCTCTCGCTAATTGATGCAACTGGTTGAGAAGTTTTTTCATGCATTGAGCAGAGCTGTTATAGTCAAAGAAGCAAGGCTGTGAGTTTCCGTGGTCAATTACAGCCAATGAGTTCCCACAAGCTTCATGTTTTTGAACAACTGGGGTTAATGATCGCGCAGGATTATCAGGGCAAGTATGTACAATTTGTATAAAAATTTCAAAGTCGAAGTAAATTACAAGTTGTACAAACCACAAGGCCTGAAGGTTTTTGAAGGTATCGGTTGGTACCTTTTTCTGATGAAGGCAGGACTGCTAGGGTAGGTTCATGGTTCATACAAGACAAGATGTGTTGCTCATGAGTTCCATCACTCCAGTTTCTACATCTGGAGTTATACAGTTTCTACATAAGTGCGTGAATGGGCGATGCTTATATTCTTTGATTTCAAAGATAAATTTAAGCAAATCAGTTAGAAGTACATAGTGATGCTTTGTAGAATCATACAAGGGAAATTGGTCCATGTCAAATATCTCAAATTCAGTGTTGCATCATTGTACGGTTATTTTGATTTATACATAAGCAACAAGTCTCCCTTTTGGTACTGGAACACATTTACCCGCACATCGTTCAGTTGTTCAAAGTTTCCAATTGATACGAAAAGCATGGGCAAATCGAAGATACCTTGGGCTTTGTGTGCTATTTCGGCAGTGTAAGTAGAAGGTTGTGTTCGCGCAGCTGCTGGGTTCGCTTTTTGTTGATCAATCAGAAGTAGGTCAATACCATGATTCAGAACAAAAGCAGCCGTAAAGCAAAGTTTGAAGCAATTATGATCGTCGTGCTTTCTAATGTTTATCAAATTCTGGGATTCTCGAAACCGAATAGGTTAGTCAAAATAAGATAATCCACGGATTGGAGAAAACTTTGCAAGTTTAACAAAAA